TTTTTTTGAAGCTCTAATCTCTCTTTGTTTCTTTGTTTTATATACATGAGTAGTTGCTTCACTGTCTTCATTGACTTGAGTTTCTCCTTCTACTTCAACTTCAGAAACATCAACATTCTTAGGAGTAACTCATTCATCATCAGATTGTAAATCATCAGCAAGGGTCAATTTCATTATCAATGCTTCCTTGCTTCTGTAAATCATCAACAAGTAAAGAGTACCACTAGTCATGCTAATAATATGACAGATGTTAACAATTATTTGTACTACCAAATACCAATAATAAAACAACATGAATACAAAAATGTACCAGTCTGCCGGGGGTCCACGGGGGCGCTGCCCCTGGAACAAAATTTTATTATAAGAGTAATTTTGAAATTATGCTTGTTGTACCGCTTAGTACCGAGCATGTACAGCTCAGTACCGAGCATGTACCGCTCAGTACCGAGCATGTACCGCTCAGTACCGAGCATGTACAGCTCAGTACCGAGCATATACTGCTTGGTATCGAGCATGTACCGCTTAGTACCGAGCATATACTGCTCGGTACCGAGCGTGTACCTAGTGGTACCGAGCATGTACCGCTCAGTACCGAGCATATACTAGCTCGGTACCGAGCAGTGCTGGCTCGGTACTGAGCTGTACCTAGCAGTACCGAGCATGTACTGAGCGATACTGAGCATGTACTGAGCGGTACCGAGCATGTACTGAGCGGACGAATGAAAGAAAGCCGAATCAGGAGTTATGCAAGCTTTCTTTACTACACCTCAAAGTTAAGGCCACAACACCGCTCACTTGCTCTTCCGACCTAACCGAGGCCTGAACGTTTCCTGCACTCACAACTTCGGCTTCGTTTCCTGCTTTCGAAAGCGTTATTGCTTTTGGATTTGTTTCCTGCGTCGTCTCCTGCACTCACGGCTTCGTCTCTTTCCCTCACGGCTTCGCCTCTAGTTTGCCTTTCAATTCTCACAGGAAGCCCTAATCCTATACGCGCATACAAAAACACGAATCGGCTGCGTCGTATTTATATATATACCGAAGAAAAAATTTCGAGGCGGTGCCTCATACTGCCTCGAGGCGTTACGCTCTAATGCGTACGCCTTGTGCGAAAAAATCGTAGGCTTCGCTGGATGGTTCGAGGCGTAAGCCCTGATACGCATGACTTCCGCCTCGACTTGAGGCGCGACTCAATGCGGACGCCTCGTCCGCTTTTTTAATGGTTGGACAGTATATTCACATGTTTTTTAATATTTTTTGTGTGTTTTTGACACGTCTACACAATGTATATACACATTTCGTGGTACATTTGTTTCGTGTACTCACGTTTTTTTAATGTGTCGGCTTATTTTCTAATGTGTCGACATGGTGCCCTTGTGCATTTTTGGTGTATTTACACAGTGTAGTTGCACACTGTTTAATTTTTTTTTTTAACATTTTTAATGCATGCGCATGGTGTGTTTGCACTTTTTTTTTTTGTTTATCTGTATTGTGTGCGTGCATGTTCATTAATGTATTTACATGATGCATTTATGTGCTTTTAAAATGTTGGCATGCTTTTTGAGGTGCAACATGCTTCTCAAAGCAAAATCAGGCTTCTTGAGACAATGACATGCCTCTTTGGCTGATTGTACGATTCTCAGGGAATCACTATTGGATTAGAAATTGCCTCAAAATAGGTGCACATAACTTGAGGTTAGTTAAATTCATTATTTGCATGAACTTATGTTCATTAGAGTGCATGCAATATCTTTTTCTTTTAATTTTAAAGGATGCCTTTTATTTGCTTACATGTATGTTGTGTATTTGATTGTGTTGAAGGTGAGTTAGAATCTTTTGGGTACATCATAAAATAATATTTTTATCTAGTTGTTTTTCTACTTCAACGAGATGGACCTCACAAGGAATCAACTTTCCTCTTGTAAATAGGAGGGGTGTAACCTATATCACTTATAAGTTATATCCCATCTAAGTCTATTTGAATTTTCATTTTCTTGGGATTGTTTAAAATAATTCTGAGTGTGGTATGAAAGCTCTATTCGTGCTAGTTAATAAGTTGCAACATTTATTACGAACCTTTGTAAGTCCTGTTTGTGTTTAAATCCTCTTTGTTCATTATGACTTATGTCACATTTCTATTTTCTTGTATTCATATTGCTCATATTATGGTTGTATTTATGATTTTCATTTTTTGTTGAGTTTTCATGCATGTCACTTTCATTTTTTTTTTTCTTTTCAATCCCTCTATTCACTGAGAAATTTGTTAGCCTCCTAGCTTCACCCCTGTGTAGGAGGCATCTTTGAAGGTTAGGTCTTCACATCATGCTTAAAAAAGCATTTATGGTCAATGCTGCAAGACACTGCAATTGGGGATTTTATATCCCACTGCATTTAAAAAAGCATGCACATGCCTTTATAAGTATGGAGAATTTTTCCTCAATGCTGGAACAACACATACGAGTACTTTGAAAATTTTCTCGCCGCATTGGAATAATGCGTATGGGTACTTAACTATGAGTTTTGCTTTATACATTATGTACACGTTGACGACAACAATGATAGAAAGAGAGAAGGAAAGGAAGGGGAGTGAGGAATGAGTTTAGGGAGAGGGAAAGGAAATTTGAGTTGAATGAGGAGTTTAATTGAGGTAAAAGTTTAAAATTTTCATACTTCCTGTTGTTTTATTAGAATTCATGTACAAATGATACAATTTATGCTTTAGATTATTTACAAGAGTAAAAGAAGTCGGGGTATATTAGGAGAACAAATTCATCCTCCTACCCTAGAGAATGAGGTGAGGCACCCAATCTGTAGTATAAGAAATAATAACATTTTTATATAATTGTGGTAGCATGATTCCCATATTAATCATGTTATTTGTTTACTGGTTCATTCATCACTTATTTAGCCGAGTTGTTGGATATATAAATATATGTTATGAAAATGTGAAGTTTAATTAGAAAATAAATAAAAGTAAATGAGAAAAGTCATATGTGACGGATAGACCCACACCAATAAAGGTAAAAGACATGAAAATGTAAGCCTAGGTATCATATCGGAGGTACCTGACACACACTCTCTCTCTTATAAAAGTTGAAAAATTTAGATCTAACATTGAATTAGAGAACTGTAAGTGTGCAAAAGCTTTTAGTCATTATATGACTTGTCTGAAGTATTGGAAAATAAACAAAACAAGAAATATATGAAAAGTTAAAAAATACACACAATGATTGACACTATTTTATGTATTGATCTTGTACAAAGCTTATGATTTTTTTAATAATAATTCAAATTTTACAATTGAATGTAGAGTATTTGTTTCTTACTTTTTGTATTAGGATTGCACATTTCATTGAGCTTTTTTCTCACCAGCAGTTGTTGTACTGTATGAAAAGGGAAGGAGCTAGCAGGGCTCTAGGCAAGAGGATGACTGCATTTTTGTGTGCATAAATTTTATGTGTATATAGAAGTCAGTGCAGTAAGCTGTACAAAAAACTTTTGGCTATGTAAACTTTATTTGAAAGTTTAGTGAAACTCTATGTTTTAATCTAAGCTTATTTTAAATATGCTTCCAAATATGAAATATTGAGATAGTGTTAAAACGGGAAAATTGTTGTGTTGGGACAGTCTGGATAGGCTACATCCTACTCATTCGATCCTGACAAAAATAAATCAGGATGAGTGTTAGTAAGAAGTATATCTATTCGGATTGTTTTTATTTGTTACACTCCAGGTTATCTGAAGAGGGTCAAAATGGGGTGTGACGGTGTCACGACCCAGCCAGGATACTCGAACTAACGAGGCGGTAACGAACAGTTGGACGATTATAATATTACTTTTAAATTCAAACACAGTTTATCATCTACATTCCATTTAAAACTGAAGAGCCACTAACTTCTATTTTCATCAAATTACTAATACGTTCTTCACATCTTAATATTTGCATAAACCAGAAATTACATGCTTTCATTTGAGCGTCATCTTTTGTCGACATACTCCTCTCTTTCAGCCATTTTTACTTATCTGGAGATTTACCTAAATATTAATTTAATAGAATGAGTTTATTAAGTAAATTCATTGACAATCACACCTATAACAAAACAATTTTACATACATTAACGAAACATATTCAATGGGCTTTCTTTTACATTTGCATATATCCATATATATCGTTTCTATCTTTCAAATAACGTAAATTCTTTATTTATCATTATCAAATAACATATTCATTTATTTGTAGTTATCAAATATAATATTCATTTTCCCTTTTCATCTGGTACAAGATCACCATCAAAATGTACCAATAAAGGTACATCCATTTTCATTTTCATTTTTTTTTTCATTTTTACGTGCACAGGTATGTTGCTTCTCCAGCCAGTACTATACGGGGTGAACTCCTGTAATTTTCATGTATATAACTTTTCTTATTTCGTTTATGCTTTCATTTACATATTATAAGTCTTTCATATATTTTTATGTATTTTGTATCATATATATTTACTTTCAAACATATACATGTTCACATATTCATATACATTATGGTAGATTATTCTTAAAACTTAAAAGGAATGCTGACAAGCTTGTTAATAACTAGGTATTTGTATCTCTTTTTGTTGGAACTGCTAAACTAACTGTTTTTCTCTACTCCCACTCTTCCCCCTTCCTATACAGATGAGCCGTCCTGAAGTGTCTTAGCTATAGCTTTCCCTTCCTATGGTACACTATTATATTTGTCTGTTATATTGTAACTAGCTTTAATTGCAATTCAGTTGCTGACTATTACAGTTGAACATATTAGTAGTTTTCAACACATTGCGGTTGAACTTAGCATCTTTTTGTCTGACAATGCTCCTATGCCTTTCGATTTGAGTATTCTTCGCTGTTTATTGGGTGATGTAATGTTGGATCATCTCTTCCTTCCTCTGGAATTCATGATAATCTATTCCTTTTAAAGTTTTCAACGGTTTGAACTCATCCTAAATGATGCTTTTGCCATATTCTAGGCTTTGTGATAGATCCTGCAAAATGCAATGAGTTGAGTTTGGAGGAAAAGAGGGAGCTAGTACATGAAATTTCACGTTGGGCTGACAATGCCCCTGAAATTCTTCAGTCGTGGACCCGTCGGGAGCTTCTTCAGCTCATATGTGCAGAGATGGGCAAAGAGAGGAAATATACTGGCGTGACAAAGCCTAAAATGATTGAGCATCTCCTTAGGCTTGTATCACAGAAGAATGGTAAAATCAGTGATGATAAAAATGGCATTTCATCTCTCACATTGAAAAATCAAAATGTAACTAAAAAGAAAAGGAAAAAAGAGCAACCGCTACAACCTGGAAATGAAATGCACTCTGATCTGTCTACTGAAGCCAAAGAAGACAATAATGACACCCGCCTCTGTCAGAATCTTGTATGCCGAGCTACATTAAGTCCGCCAGATCAATACTGTAAACGATGTTCTTGCTGCATCTGCTATCAATATGATGATAACAAGGATCCTACTCTGTGGTTAGTTTGCAGCTCCGATCCTCCATATTGTGGTGATTCTTGTGGTATGTCTTGCCATCTCAAATGTGCACTAAAGCATGAGAAGGCAGGCATTTTGAAGAGTGGATGCTCTCAGAAGTTAGATGGAAGCTTCTACTGTGTTTATTGTGGGAAAATAAATTGGCTTATAGGGTAATCCCCAACCTTTTAAACTCATTTTATTGAACCAAACTAGCATACCCTTTTCTCTTTGGTTACTGCAGCGTCGTTAATTATACAAAAGCAAGTGCTGGATATCAAGAAGGATGTTAATATTGAACCTAGAGAGTAGCTCAGCATGATTTTCTTCCTGTCCCAAATATATTTCAAAATATTTTCTACTTTGAGTTTTAACAAATATGGTTATTGCCATGGCTTGTGTATGTATTTATTACTTAGGTATCCTAAGCCATTATTTTTTAAAATTCAAGCAACATATCTAGGATTATCTAATTAGCTGAACTCACTAAATATGTTTGAATATTAAAGTTAGTTCTCATTGGGCTGAAGTTTAATGACACGACTTCTTCTTGGGGAGCCAATTTTTTTTATTTTATTTGTTTGAAGCATCATAGCATACTCACATGCTCACACAAACACCGCATATGTTGAGTTAGAGCCACAAATATTGGAAGTTTTCTCCTACATGTAAACATGCTCCAGGGTGATTTGATGGTGATGTCATGTGAGGAAGTTTTTTCTCTATCCTGTGTTTCGTTTCATCAGATTTTTTTTTTGTTTTGCATGTTTTCACAAGAAAACTATTGGATTAACGATTGTGAGGAATATTTACCTCAGGTACTTGTCATCTTTCATAAGTCATAACTTTATTTTCTTCAAAATTTTCGTTTGTCCTATTGTGAAGTCAGTTGTAATGAACTATTTTTTATGATTAAAACTCTTACATATTTTTAAGTACTTCAGTGCCCGTCTTGGCTGTAAATATACTTGATGCAATTTTTAATAGCTAATTTAATATTAATTTTACTGCCGCCTGATTGCATTATATGATTAAAAAAGTTTGTATCAATGTTAAAGTGTGTAAGGATTCATATGCGTCTAATATAAGGACATCAAAATTTGTTAAAGATATATAGTTCAATTACCAATACTTGAAATATATATAATTGAACTATATATGGAGCGACTAAGAAGTTCACAATGACATTAAGTCTATATGTTTCTATATTAATCATTGAGATACTTACAATAGACATGTCAAATCAGAGAGTTATATTGATCTTATATATACTATTCCGAAATAGCATAGTTTTTAGATGTTATAATTATCTTGATGAAAGTATAAAAGAAAAAACAAGAGATGAAGATTTTTGAACCTGAGCTTGGTATTATTGAATTCTCATAGAGCAAATGCTCTACAAATGAACGAAAATTTAAATATAAATAATTACTAACATTAGAGAGAAGTGATATATATGTATAATGTGATTAAATGTCTCTGCCAGATAAAAATGCTATAGAGAAGGGTGTGACATGGCTTAAAGCTAATTACTTGAAGCCCAGAAGTGTCTTTGAGGATTAGAAAGAAGGGGTAAACCTCAAGAAATATGGTAACAGTTGTTCAAAATGATTTATGAAAAACTTTTTTGACACTTAAGGAAACACTTAACTAGAACAATTGACAAATATGGATTCATAAAGCTTATCCAAATAATTGGGATAATACTAATAATGATGATGATAGTTGTAGTGATAACAGTGTTTTAGAGGTGTTCTCGATAAAAGAATATGATGCATACTTAAAAAGATTTATGTTAGAAAAATGGCAAAAGTCCAATTATTTTGTGTGGATTCAATTGAAATAAATAACAAATAAAGTGTTCTAGAAATAAGAATTTAAGATTGATTTGAGATAAAATCAAGCACGATTGATGTCACAACCTAGCTCAGACACTTGAATTAACGAGGCGGGAACAGACGGTTGGATGGTTAATAAAATAAAATACTTAATAGACTAATATCCAATATAAAGAGCCATAAAAACAAAATTTTCAATGCGAACTTATAACAAACCAATTTATATGTTACCATTTTATCATTTTTTTCTGTAGATGAACTCTCCTATTTCAGCCATTTACTTCACAGGAGATTTACCTGAAATTTTAAATTTAACAATATAAATTTTGTAAAAGAACTTAGTGGACAATTATAATTTATGGTATAGCTTTTAAATTTGCATAAGTAGTCATGTTGAATTATTAAATTTTTCCTTTAAGATATATAAGAATATTTAACATAATATATAGATAAAAATTTTATTCATTTAAATAAACTTTATGCCTTTAACAATTAATTTATTATAGGAGCACCGTCAAATTTTGTACTAATGAAGGTACAACCATTTTCTTTTTCATTTTTTTTTTACTTTTTCATTTAACATACATAGATATGTTGTGTTCCTAGCTAGTACTATAAGGTGAACTTCTTTGTTTACAAGCATATTCTTTTTCCCTTTCTTAACATTTTCATTTTCATATTATAAATCATCTTATTAATTTCATTTTTCTTTGCAAATGCATATCACTTAGTATAAACATTTTGATGGAGACATCAGATTTCGACACGTGTACCATCGCCGGAGACGCCGATCGACGGCCTTGATTCAGAGCCTTTACTTTTGATGCTTTATTTTATTCATGTCATTTATATTTCCTGTTTTTCCTTTTGTACCCCTATGAGGGAATTAGTGCTTAGTGTAGCCCAAGGGCATTATCGTCTTATTAAGCTTCTAAATTCAATTCCTGGTTTCACATCACATTTCTATATTTATATATACCATTTTGGAACATTGATTTGTCAATATTCTTATATAAGATGCAAAGTAAATACTTTATAGTTTAATAAGTATAGAGACATGATATTATATCAAATTATTTCATTGAACCAAAATGGGAGAGGATAGTTGTTATAAAAAAAATTATAATCACTCAATTCGTTGAATTTTTTTTGCTGAAATCCTTTCCAAATTCCTTCAGTTTCTAAATGGCCTCTTTAATTTACACCTAAGTTCATATGCACAATTACATAGATTTGCACTGTTACTTACAACTGAACTTTCATATATGTAATTTTACCTAAACTCCCTTGAGATCTCTTGTAAGCTTCTGCACTTCACCTTTGTTTAACAATTTAAATCCTTCATTATTCCAAATAATATCCAATTGTATTAAATATTTCTGAACAACCTTCTAAAATTAAATATTATCAAGATAATATTGAATTGATTTGATATCGTTAAAGACAACTTCAAATGCGTTGGGCATCATCTATATAACATTAAATGCTTTAAATTTATCATATCTTTATTACAATTCATCATTTACTATAAATCACTAGAAATAATTGAAAGTTAAATATTTTCAAATCAAAAAGTACTTTTCTTAGAAGATGATATCAACAAACGTGGATGAGATATTTTGCTAAACTTTTTAATGAAGAATGTGAAAATACAATTGACTTTGGTGACTTTAGCACCCTAAATGAAAATAATTTTTTTTTATTTTTATTGGCGTATTAGTAAAACCGAAGTTAGAGAGGCTTTAAAGAAAATGAAGTGTGGAAAAACTGTTGGACCTGATGATATTCCAATGGAGGTGAAAATGCTTAGGAGATGAAGGAATTTCTTGACTCACTAAACTTTTTAATATTGTTTTGAAGACTAAAAAGATGTCAGATCAGTGGAGAATGAGTGTATTAATTCCTATTTTTAAGAATAAAGGTGATGCATAGGAGCGTGCGAATTATAGAGGAATTACGTTAATGTGTCATACTTTAAAACTATGGGAGCGAGTTATGGAGTGTAGGTTGCGACGTGACACTAATGTTTCTCAAAATCAAATTGGATTCATGTCGGGTAGGT